CACCCTGTCACACACAGAGCCGCAGGGCGATCAGGGGGTTTGGTCGCTGCCCCCTGTCATGCTGATCCCGGTACCGGGAGGCCTCGCGGCTCCGCTGATCCCACCCGGCAGGGTCACAGATCCGGGTCCCAGACCGCAGACAGCCTTGCCTGCTGCCGCCTGCCTTCAGTATGCAAATTAGCCGCCATCTTGTTGCTTCAGGGTGGGGGTCCCCACTGGGGTGCCTGGCCAGCCTGGATGAGGGGATGATGGCTGTTTGCAGCTGGTCACACACCCTTCAGGGTGGGAGTCTCCACTGGGGTGCCTGGCCAGTCTGGGTGAGGGGCTGAGGGCCGTTTTCAGGCTGGCGGGCGACTGAAGCTCCAAACCTCTCCTTTTTTTCTTTTTTTTTTTATTCTGGCATTTATTTACCTTCTATGCCTGTCACTGGAGCTGAGAGCTGGCTTTCTCTCTGAGGCTCGGCTGCTGAAAGCAGGTTTCTGGCCTTTGTTTTCTGTATTCGAAACAATGTTGCGACTCCAGCTCTGAGATCCCGGCTGACTGACAGGAGGTTTCTGGGGTTTTGTTTATCTTCTATAAATGTTACAATGTTTCCAACTGAAGCTCAGAGGCCGGCAAGGCAGGCGGGGAACGTTGGAGTCCTCTGTCACTGAAGGAAGCAAGCCTCCCTGTTCGCATCAGCTGCCTGGCTGCCGGCCGCCATCTTGGCTGACAGTTAATTTGCATATCTCCCTGATTAGCCAATGGGAAGGGTAGCGGTCGTACGCCAATTACCATGTTTCTCTTTTATTAGTGTAGATGATTGAATAAATAAGTGGGGAGAATAGACAAATCTCCCATGCAAAAGAATCCCAATAATTTATGTTGACACTCGGCCCTTAAAGAGGGGCAGCGTAACTCCCCCTCCCTTAAGTATGGGCTGTCCTTAGTGACTTCCCTCCAAAGAACACGGAGTGGAAGTGGGGTAAGAGTAGCTTACAGTGGAAAAACCTGGCACCAGTTCAGCCTGGTGATCAAGGGTAAGACCAACAGTGATTATTGTGTTGATAGCATGTACCCCTGCTAGGATGTGATGAGAATGGCACTTTACTCTTTGATCTTCCTCCCCCAAACTCCTAAGCCTAAGAGAAAAAAACATCAAACAACTCTCAAATGAGGTGCATTACAAAATACCTGACCAGTACTCCTCAGAACTGTCAAAGTCATCAAAAATAAGGAAATTCGCCCAGCTGGTGTGGCTTGGTGGCTGAGCCTCAAACCAGGAACCAGGGGGTCAAGGTTCGATTCCTGGTCAGGGTACATGCATGGGTTGTGGGCTCGATCCCCAGTAGGGGGCGTGCAGGAGGCAGCTGATCAATGATTCTCTGTCATCATTGATGTTTCTATCCCTCTCCCTTCCTCTCTCTGAAATTAAATAAATAAATAAATGAATAAATAAAAAGGAAATTCTGAGAAACAGGGATAGCCGAGGGGGGCCTAAAGAGAGATGATGACCAAATGTCACCAGGTATCCTGGATGGGATTCTGGGACAGAAAAATAAAAGTTAAGGAAATCTGAATGAGGTATATGTCATGATTGATTGATTGATTGTGACAATATGCCATGTTCATGTAAGATATTACTAAGAGTGGAAACTGGGTATCTGGAAACTCCCTTTAATAACCTCGTTACTTTTCTGAAATCTAAACCTATTCTAAAATTTTAAAAAATGTAGACAGACTATTTGTACAAAACCTGTTTGTAAATAGTCGATAACTAACAACAAAAAAAAGGAAGTATTGTATAAGAACGTAGTTTGGTTGGGCATAAAGAATACTGATCGCAGACCTGGCCAGTTTGGCTCACTGGTTGGAGCATCGGCCTGCCTATCTAAGGGTCACAGGTTCGATTCCCGGTCAAAGGCCCATGCCTCGGTTACAGGTTCCCCAGCCCTGGTCTGCGCATGCAGGAGGCAACCGGTGTTTCCCTCTCTCTATCTCCCTCCCTCCCCACTCTCTTCCATTCCCTCTAGAAATCAATGGGGAAAAAATATCCTCGGGTGAAGATTAAAAACAAAACAAAAAAAAAGAACCTGATTGCAGCCGTGTAAGTGCCTAGTTAGCGAAGGCCCGCTTGCTGCGCTGCACACAGACTACAGGGGTATCCCTGCGGGTGTGGGATTCAGCCGCTGGCTTCTCAGCTGGTTGGAACCTCGCTCTCCTTCCGCGTGATCAGTCTTCAGAGCGTCCTGTTCGGGAGGGATTGCTTCACCTCCCTAAATTAACGGACACTCCCCTCTGCTCAGGACCCCACCTATCCCTGAACCTCCCTGCCCTGGTCCTGCCCTACACCTGGGCCCTGGGAGCCCCAGGGAGGAGGGAGGAGGTAGAGAGCTGGAATTTCTGAGGCCAATGACCAGAAGGTCTGGAGCCCAAGCTGTCTGCAGCTGCTGCCTGTCGGTGACCCTGTGTCCTGGCCATGGAGCTCAGGCGAGTGCTCCGCTACCCTGACCTACCCGGACGTCTTGGCTCCGTCAGAGGCCCCGGCCTGAGTCCAGACCCCTCCATCTGTACCCACCCAATGAGTCCCCACATGGCTCCACCCCTGACTGCCATTGTGGTTCTGCCTCAGACTGTGCTGGAGCGTGTCCCTTCCCCAGCCTCTGAAATGCCTCCAGGGCCCGCTCCCCAGCGAGTCTCACAGTGTGGAGCCACAAGGGGGCTCCTCTAGAAGCTGGTGCAGAGGACTGGAGTGTGCAGCCACCCCCCCTCCAGCTTCCCTGGCACAACCCCCACCACCACCCCGTCATGGGTGCGCAGGCCTGGCTGCACTCTAAGGCCCTGATCTGGTGCTGTTTTGTCACTGCCCTATTGTGGACCCTCTATTCCTCTCCGGATAGACTGTGAGAGCCGGGCCGGCTGTCTCATTCAGTGTGTGAGCCCCGCCTTGTCAACCCTATAGGGTGTGAGCCCTGCCTTGTCTACCCTACACCCCGCAGCGCTGTCTGCACATGCTCCTTGGTCTGATGGGGAGGGGGCCCAGAGTGCATCTCCAGCTCTAGCGTTTCTCCTTGTGGAGGCTGAGCTGCATTGAAGACCGGGGCCTTGTCCGGGGTCTCACAAAGATGGCATAGCTGAGGTGAGCATTTGAATTCTGCCTTCAACACACCTCTAGGCTTTGCCCACTGCGGAGCAGCTCCCAGCCACCCCAGCTCCCTCAGTGTCCCCATCATCCATCCCTATGGGCCGAACTTGCCCTTGCTGAGGCCCAAGGACAAGGCGGCAGCAGAGGAGACTCCAGAAAAAAGGCAAAAGGACTGAGGCACCAAAATAACTGAGCCCTTTCTTTCTTTCTTTTTTTTCTTCTTTTTTTTAAAATATATTTTTATTGATTTCAGAGAGGAAGGGAAAGGGAGAGAGAGAGAAACATCAATGATGAGAGAGAATCATTGATCGGCTGCCTCCTGCACGCCTCCTACCGGGGAACAAGCCCGCAAACCGTGCATGTACCCTGACCAGGAATCAAACGGTGACGTCCAGGTTCATAGGTTGACCACTGAGCCACACCGGCCAGGCATGGGCCCTTTCTTTGAGAAAGGAATATTTAAAAATCAGAAATGTGATTCTCTCTTTAAGAGGAAAACCTGCTTTAAATAAATGGGAAGTCAAACTACCCAGGTGTAAAAGTACCGTGTGCTCTAAAAAGTTTTCATCGGCGTTGAGAATCTAAGTTTATAACCAGGAACTGAAAGCTTTGCCAGCTGACCAGATAATGCATGAGAATATCTCTGTACATTGGCTAAAGGACAATATTTAAAATAGGACTGTCGAACGCTGGCTTCCCAACACAACCTGTTGCTAGGAGAAAGCTCTGTTTCTGATATTTGGGAAGCCAGTGTTAGACAATGTAGGTAAGCCCATCCATGTTCCCTTTACGACTTATGTTCTGGGATGTTTTTAAAGTGTCCTTCCCAATCTGAAGCACAATCATGTTTTGAATATTGTACTTTAGACAATGGACAAACATGCAGTTTTGACATTCACAACCACAACACAGAAATCTGCGCCCTCGGAGCGGGCGGGGTTTTGTGAAAGTTCACCTCAGTCATCCAGAGCTGCGTCATCTGATAGGTTAGCCATTAACCATGTACCTATTTACATTAGAGTCTATTAAAACCCCCTGAGAAAGATTCAGGTCCTCGGTCGCACTGGCCACACGCCCGATGCTCACGGCCTCCCGTGGCGGGTGGCTGCTGTGTTGGATGGAACGATGCAGGACATTTCCATCTTCCCAGGAAGTTCTGTCTGAGGGCACTGCTTTCTAGCTTGTTGTTTCAACACAGCTGGTGGGCTAGCACAGCTTTCAGTTCCTTGTTATAAATTTAGCTTCTTAAGAATACCGATGAAAACTTCTTATATGGAGTAAAGAAATGTTGAAATGAATTGCAAGGGGAGACTCACCAGTGTGGGGTTTTCATCCCTCCCACAATAGAGGAAGAAAGACGGAATTTGCATGTCTATCAATAACCTATCATTCACAGAATCCTATATAATAAAACCCTAATATGCAAATCGACTGAATGGTGGAATGACAGCCAGAACGACGGGTTGCTCTGATGCACACTGCCCCCCTCCCCACCCACCCAAGAGGAAGGTGACCTACAGCAGCAATCAGGGGGTGGGGACGGCCAGTGGGCGGTGCTGGGCCACAAGCCAAGGTGGGTGCCAGTGGGGCCCCCTGATCACCCTGCCCACTGGTCGCCCTACAGATGGCCCTGATTGCTGGACAGGCCTAGGGACTCTACCCTATATATTGGGAATGGTCTTTTAGATTTAAAAAGTCAAACCTGGCAAGGCTACTCTAACACTGAAAAAACAGGATGATGTAGCGATGACATGCATGGACCCTGGCTGGCACATTTTGTGGTCAGCCCTGATTCGGACACTTATAACTGTGTGACAAAGCCAATTACTTCTTTGTGCTCCAGTTTTCCACCCATAAGATGGGGAAAATGGCACTACTGCCTCAGAAGGATCATGTTATGTACTACTTTTTATAATCAGGGCAAAAAAATGTAGCTGCCCATACAACAGCAAGATGCCTTTCACACCCATGAAAAGTATGGTCACTGGTGCATGCAACGTCCCGGACTGCAAGAGGGATGTCTGACTGCCAGTTTAGGCCTGACATCCCCCGAGGGGTCCTGGATTGAAAGAGGAACCCCCTCCCTGCACAAATTTCATGCACTGGGCCTCTAGTTATAAAATAGTTCTCATTGAATCAGAATCAGAGAACCAGGAAGAATGTGCTAGAGACAATACAGTTTTCCATGGGAGTGCACATTTTTTATGGAAAAGTGTGACTTTGAGAGTCATTCCCAGAAGCTCAGAGGGAAATGTGTATAAAATAAAGCACATGAATCATTTCTATGTGTTTTCAAGGACCCGCACAAATGTAAATACATGTATGGAAAGTAGAGTGAAAGGACATATGCATTAACTATATTAAGAGGATACCTATGGGGCATCGGGTAGGAAGTGCAGCCAGGGGATGGAGGTGGAAAAAAATAAATTCCATAAAACCAGACAAATGGTGAAGCGCATCCATGGGTGACTGTGTGTGTGGACTAGGATGCTGATAGCGGGGAGGCTGTGCACGTGTGGGGACAGGGCTATATGGGAACTGTACTGTGCCCTTAATTTTGCTGGGAACCTAAAACTGCTCTTAAAAATAGTCTATTTTTTTAAATGACCAGAAGATGAAACCTATATAATTTTATTAACCAATATCACCACAATAAATTTAATTTAAAAATAAAATGTTTTTAAAAAATGACCAGGAGAGTGATGGGTCTTGCCATGGGCTTCACTGGAGGGCCAGACACTCCCCAGCAGAGCGGGTCTGAACAGCAGCAAGGGAACAAGCATAGGTTGATTCGGATCAGGGGTCCTCAAACTACGGCCCGCGGGCCACATGCAAATACAAATATTGTATTTGTTCCCGTTTTGTTTTTTTACTTCAAAATAAGATATATGCAGTGTGCA